TTCCTTTCTGGACATTAAGTCCCACATATATTGGTTATAAAACAGAGTTAAAAAGAGTGGTGACAGAACAACATTTCTGCATTTGTTGATGATTCCAAATCATATATTTTCTTGCTTTGGAATTCCAGAAACACATTTGCTATAAACCATACGTTGTATCTGGCTACCAAATATAGATAAACGTTCGGGCATCTTGTCTGGGTTACCTTTATTCTTTATGCAGATTCCACTCGCTTTGCTGATTTTTCTTACTTCATACAGGGCACTTCATGAGAAGGAATCAAAATCACAAGGCATGACAAGGATGCAGTTTTTTCTTATATTCCTGGCTGCGAGCTTTGCCTATTATGCACTTCCCGGTTATCTGTTCCCAATTTTGACATTCTTTTCTTGGGTCTGTTGGGCGTGGCCTCGTAGCATAACAGCACAGCAAATTGGTTCTGGGTACCATGGATTGGGCATTGGTGCTTTTACCCTTGACTGGGCTGGAATTTCAGCTTATCATGGCAGCCCGCTAGTCACACCTTGGTCTTCAATTTTGAATGTTGCCGTTGGCTTTGTCATGTTTATCTACATTATTGTCCCTCTATGTTATTGGAAGTTCAACACCTTTGATGCTCACAAGTTCCCCATATTCTCCAACCAGCTGTTCACTTCTACTGGCCACAAATATGATACAACCAAGATTTTGACCCCGAATTACGAACTTGACATTCCTGCCTATGAAAAATATAGCAAGCTCTACCTTAGTCCTCTCTTTGCCCTTTCAATTGGATCAGGCTTCGCTAGATTTACAGCAACCCTCACTCATGTAGCACTTTTCCATGGCAGGTTAGCTCTTTCTAGTGCAGATGTTCCAGTTCTTGAGCATCTGCGCATTTTAGTACCTAGTTTCTAAATCAATGTTCTGATATAATGTACCTCAATCTGACAATGATTGATATTGAACGGGGAGACATTCTGTGAGAATGGAAAGTCCTCGTGGCACCAAAACACTGTTACTTGTCTAGCAATTCAAGGTCTCTGTAGTCCCTGTTCCGTCATCAAAAGTAAAATGCTTAATCAGCATGCATTTTGTGATTTCATAGTTCACACTTTGTTTTATGTTAATTATGAGTTGACTTGCTGAAATGTCCCTGCGCACACATAGACTGACGTGGATGCTATTCATTTATTCTTCTTAAAGCGACATTTGGAAACAAAGTAGATCTGCTACCAAGAACGTCAAATTGGACATCCATGCAAAGCTGATGAAAAGTTACAAACAAGTCCCTCAATGGTGGTACCTCGTCTTATTAGCAGGCAGCATTGCCCTGTCCCTAATGATGTCTTTTGTCTGGAAAAGAGAAGTTCAGCTGTCATGGTGGGGAATGCTCTTTGCATTCGGATTGGCTTGGATTGTTACACTCCCTATAGGTGTTATTCAAGCAACTACTAACCAGGTATGAACTGGTTTTCAAACTGTGGACGGTTGAATGTAATATCCGTCTGTCGATTCAACACCGCATGAACAATTTCACGCAGCAAGCGGATATCAGTGTTGTCGATGATGTTAATTTCTTGTTTTGCAGCAACCAGGATACGACATAATTGCTCAGTTCATAATTGGATATGTCCTCCCAGGAAAACCTATTGCAAACTTGCTTTTCAAGATTTATGGCCGAATCAGCACTATTCATGCTCTCTCTTTCTTAGCTGACCTTAAGCTTGGGCACTACATGAAAATTCCTCCGAGATGCATGTACACAGCTCAGGTTTTGCTTGAAAAAACCTTTTCTCCCAATGACTGAACAACATTTTTGCTCTTCACATTGGATATCTGAGGCGTCAATTGCCTGCATTTTCTTTTTTATTTCATTTTCCAGCTGGTAGGAACACTAGTGTCCGGTACAGTCAACCTTGCAGTAGCATGGTGGATGTTGGGAAGCATCGAAAACCTGTGCGACGTCGAGGCTCTGCATCCTGAGAGCCCCTGGACGTGTCCTAAATTTCGAGTCACTTTCGATGCTTCTGTGATCTGGGGTCTAATTGGACCGGAACGTCTGTTTGGACCTGGTGGTTTGTACAGGAACCTGGTATGGCTATTCATAATTGGAGCAGTCTTGCCAGTGCCAGTTTGGATGTTGAGCAAAATGTTCCCAGACCAGAAATGGATCCCTTTGATTAACATACCAGTTATATCTTACGGCTTTGCTGGAATGCCCCCTGCAACCCCGACCAATATTGCAAGCTGGATCATTACTGGAATGATCTTCAACTACTTTGTTTTCAAATACAGAAAAGGATGGTGGCAGAAATATAACTACGTTTTGTCAGCTGCACTGGATGCTGGAACTGCTTTCATGGGCGTGCTATTGTTCTTTGCGCTGCAGAATGAAGGGAAAAACATCAAGTGGTGGGGGGCTGAGCTGGACCACTGTCCATTGGCGTCCTGCCCAACAGCACCTGGAATTGTAGTTGAAGGATGCCCTCTTTTTAAGTAGGATATGTTGAACATGATGGTTTCTGTGGTTTGACCCATGTTTAAAGATAAGTTCCATGCATAGTTTTAGAGGCCAGTGAAATCTTCGACGCTGATTGTAGTCGTACGAAGTTTTGCATAAACTCTGAGAAGCAATTCCTATCTTTGAGTTCTTGTAAATGCTCAGTTATATTATACGGTTTTGCAGGAATGCCTCCGGCAACTCCTACCAATATTGCTAGCTGGATCACTACCGAAATAATCCTCAACTATTTCGAATTCAAATACAGGAAAGGATGGTGGCAGAAATAATGTTTTGTTAGAGTTGAAGTGGTGGGGAGCTGAGAAGGATAACTGTCCATTGGCTTCCTGCCCAACAGCACCTGGAATTGTAGTAGCTCAGGGATGCCACTTTTTCAACTAGGATAGCCATAGGTCTTTGTAGAGTATTAGGTGCTTCAATTTCAAGTAATTGTAGGATTTGTGTTAGTACATGTAAAGTGGAGTTAGTCCTTAATTTCCCAATATTTGAACAAGTTGGTCTCTTCTTCTCCTCCAAAAAAAAATCTCTACATTTTTCATAAACACACCTTTTTACTTCATATATATCAAATCATTACAACATACTTTCTACGAAAACTCCAGAAAATTGCCATCCAAGCACAACCTAAAGCTTTCTTGTCTTTTCTTGTTTGCTACCGAAGGACCTTATTCACAATGGAATGCTACCATATATATGTAAGGCATTGTTACGTAACATAACAGAATTAATTGGCTTTCCCTCTGCGACATGCTGACTGCAAAGTTGGCCCCAAAAACAGAAGCACATGCGCCCGCGGCTATTCATCTTTTCAGATTGAAATCTGCCTTCTATTATTTAGTACCACACGACAATTCTTCCTATTTAGGTTACGGTGTGTTACCAATTAGTAGATAGAAATGTGCAATCCTTTAAGATCGAATGTGGTACTAATTAAGTAGTCAATATTGGTTTAAGAGCAATGTCATATAACAGCGACGTCCCGCGTGAATGGTCCAGCGGTAGCACCTCTCAATGGTGACCGCGAGGTCCCGAGTTTTAGTCTCTACTCTGCTGGATTCCTCCGCGCACTTATCGTACTAGGGTCGGGTTGGGGTGCCGGGCCCGGGCCCAGGGGATTAGTCAGGCCTCGTAAGGATTGACCCGGACACCCCTGTGTCGACAAAAAAAATATATATATAGCAGCGAGCAGTACTATAGAGGACTTCCGATTCGTTCAAGACAGGCAGCATGTGGGCCGTGCGATCGATGTAAATTGTAAGTGGCAAATACCTCTCGGAATGAAAGGGAAAAAAAAATCTTTTTTTGGATGGTTTAGTTCGTTTGCAAGAGTAATTTAGAACTTGCAGCCAATAAACAAACGACCCACGAGGAATTGTGGATAATTTAATCGGTGGATCTTTAGGAAGTCAGGTTACAACCTACACTGCTCCCCTGTAGAACTAGATAATACCCGTGTAGAAACGCATTGAATTAATGCCATTATTGGTGTTGTTTATTTTATGTTTGCATGTGTCTAATGAGGACAGTCAGTTTTCCACAGCTGTAACTTCAGACGGGTTCGAAAATTGGAACTCGCCATAGGCATCTTTCTGTCTCATGCCCCCCCCCCCCCCAAAACAAAAATAAAAAAATGTAGTTAAGGCTTTTAATTAGCCTTTTAAAAGTCATATTTGTATGTGTTTTAGTTCAAAAAATATACAAGTATATATGATAAGCAATACATGGATGTTCCGTTCAAACTGGTTTATAATTAGATGAAAGTATATATGGTAATAAAAAAAATAGTAAGTATTTTATCCTTGACCACACTGAAATGAAACTGAAATAATCGTTCTATCTTTCACTAGACTGAATGAAACTTGTGATCAAACAATGCAATAATGCATATTCATGCATGTCTTCTATATAATTTAGAGCTGCCGCATGTTTATTCAATCAATAAAGAGGAAAAAACTTTAATTTGCATCAATTTTTTTTTTCTCATTTTCATCATTGACTAATAATTCGTAGCCACCCACACCAAACACAGAAGAAAAGAAGACAAAAGCCTTTGGTTCCTTCAAGTCATCGTTGTGCTTAAAAGTTAAATCAAGATACACTCACTCAGCAATAATAGTAGTTACCCCCCGTAAAGGTTCTGCAGCAGCAGCAGCAGATTATTTATAGTTGTTTCCATCATAATTTATAAGAGAGAGAGGGGAGACCCCATCCATCGTTCGTTTACACTTTACATAGAGCGAGCCAATTGATTGGCAGAATCCAAATTAAAACTCGTCTCGTCCCCTCCCCCTTGGACACCGCTGCCTCTATTTTCTCTAGTTGCCTGCTACTACTCGCAAAATGGCAGCCCCAGAGAACCTCAATGCAGGAGGAGGAGGACCCCTGCCTTGTGCTGCAGTTTCCACGTCAGAAGAAGAAGGTAGATGCCCGGTGGAGGAGGTGGCGTTGGTGGTTCCAGAGACAGACGACCCCACACTCCCAGTACTGACATTCCGAGCATGGTTCCTTGGGATGACCTCGTGCTTCATACTCATCTTCCTCAACACCTTCTTCTCCTACAGAACCCAACCTCTCTTCATCTCCGCCATTCTCATGCAAATCCTTACGCTCCCAATGGGCCGCTTCATGGCAGCTGCATTGCCCACCCGAAGTTACTCCGTTAATCTTGGACTTGGACGATGGAGCAGTTTTAGCCTCAACCCGGGGCCTTTCAACGTGAAAGAGCACGTGATGGTGACTATATTGGCTAACTGCGGTGCCGCCACCGGCGGATTCGAAGCTTACTCCATGGGTGCTATCACCGTCATGAAGACCTACTACAACCTCAACCTCACTTTCTTCGCTGCATTTCTCATTGTCGTCACCGCTCAGGTATACGTATCGATGTATGTACTAACCTCATACTGTATGTTTTTTTACAAAAAAAAACAAAAAGCTTTGATGCTAAAAGTTGAGATTTCAAGAATTACCAGTCCTAAACTTTAATCCTACGTCTAAAATTATTCTAACCCTTCATTCATTCATTTTCTTCATGTTTTCCTCCCACCAAATAAATTGTTTCTAATTACTAGTATTAAATATTGCATCGCATATTAATTTCTCGCTTAGGACAAGCACTAGCTATTAATAATATTTCTCCATTGGCCCTTGGCATAAGATTATCTTTTACCAATCATAACGAGTAACATTTTACCATCGTTGCCTATTCTACTCGTTGTTGCTGCAACACTCCAATTCCCTTTCTTTTTTTCATACAAATTAATTTGACTCGTCAACTTTTCTTGTCTTTTTTTTTTTTTTCTCTTCTATCATGATTTGTGCTAATTAATACAAGTAACTAATTAATAAGTTTGTCCTGGGCTGCAGCTTATGGGTTATGGATGGGCTGGGATGATGAGGAGGTACCTCATTGAACCTGCCGAAATGTGGTGGCCTGCAAACCTGGCTCAAGTTTCTTTGTTTAGGTATGCTCACCCTTAACTTCTCCACATTTTGTTACAGAAATTTCAACTTAACAAATAGCACTGTAGACTTCCATCGTTGCCTATATACTGTTGGAAACACATATATAATTTTATTTTATACCTATTAATCCTATAAGTTATAGAAAAAAGAAAATATTCTCTTAGACAATATAAGCTCCTGCTTATATTTGATAGAAAAATTCAAGTACTGCAAAAAGAAAAAAAAAAAAAAAAGAAGAATGAAGCATTTGCCAGTCGATTTGGAGAATTAACAACACGTAATCATCGAAAACAACAAAAGCTCATACCATTGAATGAATGAACAAAGTTGTACAGATTTACAACATTCGATTATTGGGATTTGGATAAAAACTCCATTCTTACAACAGGGCTCTCCACGAAAAGGAATCGAAAAAAGCAGGCATGACCAGGATGCAGTTCTTCCTCATGTTTCTAGTAGCCAGCTTCGCTTACTACACCTTTCCAGGGTATCTGTTCCCGCTCCTAACATTCTTCTCGTGGACCTGCTGGCTGTGGCCTCGCAGCGTCACGGCCCACCAGGTTGGTTCAGGATTTCACGGTCTCGGACTGGGTGCCTTCTCCCTCGACTGGGCGGGGATCGCGGCTTATCACGGCAGCCCACTAGTCACACCCTGGTCCTCCATCGTCAACATAGCCTTCGGATTCGTCTTCTTCATCTACGTCATATTCCCGCTGTGTTACTGGAAATATAACACCTTCGATGCCCACAAATTTCCCATCTTCTCCAATCAGCTCTTCACCTCCACCGGTCAAAAGTACGACGTGACCAAGATTTTGAACTCCCGGTTTGAACTGGACACTGCTGCCTTTGAAAAGTTTGGAAAGCTGTACATGGTCCCTCTCTATGCCATGTCACTTGGGTCGGGCTTTGCCCGAGTTTCATCGGTTTTCATGCACGTGGCGCTTTACAACGGCGGGTACGTACGTGCTTGCTTGCCATTAGCTTGGTTCATAGCGTGCTAGCATACTTGTAGTAGTAAGGTACATTTGCTGTCTTGGTCGGCACTTTTTTTTTTTCCCCCCTGAAAAAATGTAGTATTTTGCACAACAGCGATATATGGAAGCGATTTAGCTGGTCTACAAAGAAGATCAAACTAGACATCCATGCGAAACTGATGAGAAATTACAAGGCAGTACCACGTTGGTGGTTCCTGGTGGTGTTAGTCATCAGCATTGGACTGTCACTCCTGGTTTGCTTTCTACTGAAACAAGACGTGCAGTTGCCGTGGTGGGGTTTCCTGCTTGCTGCTGGTTTGGCCTGGTTGCTCACCCTCCCGGTCGGAGTCATTCAAGCTACCACCAACCAGGTAAGGACTCAACTATTTAATTTTTAATTATCCACTACTAGTATAACCTCATGCAGTCACACTTATTCCTTGTCCACACAAATTCATTATATATAAATGTGCAGCAACCTGGATATGACCTTGTTGCGCAGTTGATGATCGGCTATCTCCTACCTGGGAAACCGATTGCCAACTTGCTTTTCAAGATGTACGGCAAGACCAGTATCCTTCATGCTCTTTCTTTCTTGTCTGACTTCAAACTTGGTCACTACATGAAAATTCCCCCAAGAAGCATGTTCACTGTACAGGTAAACCAATTCTTGATGGCTAGCTAACTGGCTTTTCCTTCCAGCTGAGTCTCCGTTTAATCATGTCATCATTTGATACACATTTGTGATTTCGTTTCTCTTCCAGCTGGTTGGTTCACTAGTTGCTAGTTTAGCCAACCTTGGAATGGGATGGTGGATGTTGGAGAGCATCCCCAACATCTGCGATGTGGAGGCGCTTCATCCGGACAGTCCATGGACGTGCCCCAAGTTTCGAGTGATGTTCGATACGACTGTAGTATGGGGTCTGATTGGACCAGAGCGGCTGTTTGGACCTCATGGTCTGTACAGGAACATGATATGGCTATTCCCACTGGGGGCCCTCTTACCAATACCTGTGTGGATTTTAAGCAGAAAGTTCCCGGACAAAAAATGGATTTCCCTAATCAACATCCCTCTTATAACTTGTGGCTTCACCGGAATTCCACCTGCAGCCCCAACCAACATTGCCAGCTGGATTGTCATGGGTTTGATCTTCAACCACTTCCTGTTCAAGTACCGGAAAGGATGGTGGCAGAAGTACAACTATGTTTTGTCTTCTGCTTTGGATGCAGGGACGGCTTTCATGGGGGTTCTGTTGTTTTTTGCTCTTCAGAATTCAGGCAAAAACTTGAAGTGGTGGGGAACTGAGCCAGACCACTGCCCTTTGGCGTCCTGCCCAACAGCACCTGGGATTACAGTTGCAGGATGCCCGGTTGTTAAATAGCTAGCAGAACAACAATGGAGATGTAATTTGAAGAAAAACTAGGGGGAAAAAAAGAATCAACTCTCATGTGCTATTTCTGTACGCAGATGCGCGCTTTCTATACTAACGGGTCATAATCGAGCTAAGCACTTCTAACCATGGTTCGCCGTATCGGCCGATACCGATACGTATCGGTCGAGTCGTATCTGGAACGGAAGGGACCGGTACGATACCGATCCCCGAATCACGGATATCACCATATCCGCGACGACTCGCTCTAACTCGACCGGTATTGACCGATTCGAATCCGTGATACATGATATCGGTCGATATATCCGAGTCAACTCGGAGTCGACTCCAATATTTTTTTAAATTGTCTTTTTCAGTATTTTCTAATTTTAGTAATTTTTTCAAAATTTTTGGAATCTTTAATGTGTTATAATGTTCATATCACCCGATATTCAACCGATATGCCGCGACGGATGTGGAACAACTGAGACCGCAACGCGACCGCGACCCGCGATGGCGAACCATGCTTCTAACCCGAAAGAGTTATGCCAAGTTTAAAGCGAATAATTAGTTTCATGTTGTTCCACAGGTTGATTACCAATTTTGCGCCCATAAAAAGGAATAAAAAAAAAAAGAGTAGCAATTTTGCTTTTCAGGAGCTTAGCAGTCAGAATATGTCCTGACTTGCACTTTAGCCCCCCCCCCCCCCCCAGACGTTAGTAATCGAATCCTTCGCATTGTATCCCTTAAAGTTGCTTAGTTACTACTAATGAACTACAGAGTTGACCCAAACAAGAAGGAGATGCAGATTTTGGGGGTTTTTATCATATCCAAAGATTAATTTTTTTGTCAAAAAAAGAAGAAGAAGAGGAAATCGCAGTGATCTGTGGGATGCATTCCTCCTAGGTAACAGATCTAGTGTTATTAATTGCTGATCAGTTGTTAGAACGGAAAATGCAAGCTTCAAGATGCAAACATATGTATCTCAAAATAAAGAATTGATTGGGTTAGTTAATGTTCGGATCCCGTCAAAGAGAGTCCAGATATTACCTACACTGCTTCCCCGCGAGCCAGATAGTACCCCAAACCCAATAATCTTTTATGCTTCAGCTTGATAACATGTAGATTATAGAACAATAAACAATAAACAAATAAAATTATTAATTTTTCAAAGGTGGTTGTGACATTAACATATACTATATCTAGTACATGCTAGTAAATCACAAATGAGACATATAAAAGCAAATTATATATATATGTGTGGATTTCTTTTGATCATCTTTGGAAGTTTTTAGTATTCAACGATTCTCGATGTCGTTAATTACTCGATTATAGTAATTAATTAGCGGCATCTGTTTTGGGTCCCTTCTGTTGTTGTTGCCGTGCGTGGCAGAGTCTATAGACTATATAGACAGAGATGCAAGGAGGAGGAGGAGGATCAAGCAACTTTCTGAGGAGGTACTACCACCAGTATAGCCGTCTCATGGTTTCGGACAAGGCCGACAATCGGAGCAGCGGTACTGGAGGGCCTCCAGAAACCGAAGAGTTAGAAAGATGCTCGGTGGAGGAGGTGGGGTTGGTGGTTCCAGAAACAGACGACCCTTCCCTCCCAGTAATGACATTTCGAACGTGGTTTATAGGCCTCAACTCATGCCTGATATTGATATTCCTCAACACTTTCTTCATATACAGAACCCAACCTTTGTTCATCTCCGCAATTCTGATGCAAATAGTTGCATTACCAATAGGGAAGTTCATGGCAGCTGTGCTGCCTGAGGAGAAATACACAGTTTTTGGAAGGTGGAGTTTCAGCCTCAACCCTGGGCCCTTCAATGTGAAGGAGCATGTGGTCATCACTATATTGGCTAGTTGCGGGGCTGCCGCCGGTGGAAGTGAAGCTTATTCCATGGGTGCCATCACCGTCATGAAATCTTATTACAAGCTCAACGTCAATTTCCTCGCTGCACTGCTCATTGTTTTAACGACTCAGGTAAGCGACGAACCCTCCTGCTCTCTCTCTCTCCTTCATCGATCCATCTATTTAAAATTTTCCCTTTAATTTGTGTTTCAATTTTTTGGGTAAATCACGCTCTACCCCCTATGGTTTTGCATTTTTCACATAATTCCTTTGTGGTTTCAAAAACAATACGTAATTCCTTCGTAGTTTGGACTAAAATATTAAAGCGATAAAAATGATGAATCCACAGAAATGTCGATATTACCTTTGTTTAGAAACTAGAATGATTGAAGTAGTCAGAATCTATAAATATACTATGCATGACACTTTAATTTGTGTTTTACCACAAAATCCGCTCATGGCTTAATGTTTTAACACAACTTTTTTATCGGCAGCGGAGTCAGGACCGTAGGGTCAGGGGGTTCAATTTTCGCCATCACATCAAATGTAATTATAGTAAATTTTCAAGAGTGCATGTTAAAAAATTTTCAAAAGTTTTATGCCTAAAATAAAACTTTCTCGAAGTTAGAGGGTGCAATTGACACCGTGAAGTTCATTTGGCTCCACCCTGCAACTTATGGTTTTCAAAATATATACATAACCCCCTCCCCTAGTTTATAAATAATTTTTAACTTCACACAGGGATACTTTTGACATTTTAGTCAATTTCATTACGGAACTTTGATAATTTAATTTAAATCATAAGGGGGTTATGTATAATTTTTGAAATCACGTAAAGGTTATCTGAAAAAAGTGCTAAACTACAGAGGATAAAGTGTAATCTACCTTTTTTTTTTGGTATAAAGTGCTTTTCTCGACATTTTATTCTTGTATACTAAATCATTTCTTGATAATCGTACAATGCAGTACGAAGAAATGTTTCGTTCATGCATGTATTTTAACATTTCGACGAGTAATCCTGTTGCAGCTAATTGGCTATGGCTGGGCTGGGATGCTAAGGAGATACCTTATCGAACCTGTTGAAATGTGGTGGCCAGCAAACCTTGCTCAAGTTTCTCTATTTAGGTCTGTTCAGCTTTTTAATTCTCTACAACATTTTGCGTTTTTTGCGCAGTATTTCCTCATTGTTTTCAATCAAAAAAAAAAAAAAAGAAAGAAATCGGATTCAGCATCAGTTGCCAAAGCTATAATTCGAACTCTGTGAACCAATATTGATTGATTACAGGGCTCTCCATGAGAAAGAATCAAGAAAAGAAGGGTTGACAAGGATGCAATTTTTCCTCGTGTTTCTGGCAGCGAGCTTCGCGTACTACACATTTCCAGGGTATCTGTTTCCGCTGCTAACATTCTTCTCGTGGGTTTGTTGGGTTTGGCCTAATAGCGTCACGGCGCAGCAAATCGGTTCAGGGTACCACGGACTTGGACTAGGTGCCTTCTCCCTTGACTGGGCAGGGATCGCCGCCTATCACGGCAGCCCACTGGTCACCCCTTGGTCTTCCATTCTCAACATTGCTTTCGGCTTTGTCCTGTTCGTATACGTTATTTACCCTCTTTGTTACTGGAAATACAACACCTTTGATGCCCGCAAGTTTCCCATATTTTCCAACCAGCTGTTCACCTCCAGCGGCCAGAAGTACGATGTAACAAAGATTTTGAACTCGCAGCTGGAGCTGGACACGGCTGCCTATGCCAAGTACGGAAAGCTCTACATGTGCCCCCTCTATGCCATGTCACTTGGGTCGGGATTTGCTAGAGTTTCTGCAGTTTTCGCGCATGTAGCTCTTTTCCATGGCAGGTTCGGCACTCGATCACCTGTTCTCATTGAATAATAATTAACAATGCCTGCTTAACTCAAATGTTTTATTTTATAGTGATATTTGGAAGCGATTCAGCTGTGGAGCAATGAAGATCAAATTAGACATTCACGCAAAGCTGATGGCCAGTTACAAGCCGGTCCCTGAGTGGTGGTTCCTCATCATATTGGCGGTGAGCATTGCTCTATCACTCCTCATGTCTGTCGTGTTGAAACAAGATGTTCAGCTGCCCTGGTGGGGCTTCATCTTTGCTTCTGGCTTGGCCTGGGCGCTTACTCTCCCTATTGGAGTCATTCAAGCAACCACCAACCAGGTAATTGACCGCACAGCTTTACTGAAACACTTTTAATTCTTACTCACTATTGTTATATAAATTACTTGAAACGATCCATCATCTTTAATTTTATTGATTGGAAATTAATTGCAAAAAACTGTTTTTGCTTACTTTTTCTCTTAAATCTGCAGCAACCTGGATATGACATAATTGCCCAGCTGATGATTGGGTACATCCTTCCAGGGAAACCAATTGCTAACTTGCTTTTCAAGATCTATGGCCGGACCAGCGTTATTCATGCACTTTCATTCTTATCTGACCTTAAACTTGGGCACTACATGAAAATTCCACCACGATGCATGTTCACTGCACAGGTAAATAATACTAATAATAATTCTTCTTTTACTGCGTACTCAGAGCCGGCTGAGCTAAACTGAGGCTGGCTGATTCATGCTTTACCCCTTAAATTTTTAGCTGGTAGGAACGTTAGTTGCTGGTCTAGCCAACCTCGTAATAGGATGGTGGATGCTGAGAAGCATCCCAAACATCTGCGACGTGGAGGCGCTTCATCCAGAGAGCCCATGGACATGCCCCAGATTCCGGTTAACCTTTGACACAACAGTGGTTTGGGGACTTATTGGACCAGAAAGACTGTTTGGACCTAAAGGTCTGTACAGGAACATGGTATGGCTATTCCCCGTAGGAGCTCTCTTGCCACTGCCTGTATGGATTTTGAGCAGAATCTTCCCCGACAAAAAATGGATCTCTCTAATCAACATACCGCTCATAACTTGTGGCTTCGTCGGACTTCCACCAGCGGCTCCCACCAATATTGCTAGCTGGATTGTCATGGGATTGATCTTCAACCATCTTGTGTTCAAATACAGAAAAGGATGGTGGCAGAAGTACAACTACGTTCTGTCTTCTGCGCTTGATGCTGGGACAGCTTTCATGGGCGTGCTGGTATTCTTTGCACTGCAGAATTCTGGAAAGAACCTCAAGTGGTGGGGCACCGAACCAGACCATTGTCCTTTGGCATCCTGCCCAACGGCAGCAGGGATTGTAGCTGCAGGATGCCCAGCCTTCAAATAGCAAAAGAACACCCGAGACGTAATTCGAGCTCAGATAGGAAATCCTTCTCCATATGTAATATTCTTTCAGAAGTTTCATCGACAATCAACTTAAAACACTTGACCAAAATGTTTCTAACCGTAATCCTTTGGCGACATTTCGATCCATCCGGCCTGAACAAGCTCTCACTAGACAGCTGGGGAAAGAAAAATAAAGGAATACAGAGAACAAACAAATCCAAAAATTTGACACCAAAATAATTATCCCCAAGTTGAATAAATTATCAAAGTCCCTTATATTCCAAATTTCAATTAATGTTTGCTCATGGGGCTAGAAATTTTAACCTTAATTCTAATATCAACTACATATAAAGACTGAAAACCATTGTCCAAACAGGTGGGCCAGATCTTCATCTCTGTATGGACTTGTATAGCACTACTGTAACATATTTGGACAGGAAACGATGAGTAGAACCAAGTGCTACCACTGATGGGCTCCGACCTTTCTGCATGTAGAGATGGTTTAGCACAACATGCTGAGGCCTCGAAAAAGGAGGTGGTATCTCCAAATGTGCCGATGGGATGTTAAGCAAAGTCATTTGGAGATGCGGAGGAACCAAAGGAGGCTCTTTTGCATAATCTTCAGCAACAAGTTGCAAGTTGTTGTAACTTGATTCAGGAGACTGGGGTGGTTCAAAACCAGAAACACTTTCAATATCTTCTGGAACATAATCCTATAACACATTGTACAAGTTAATACGGTCCAAAACCACAAATCATTTTCTCAACTAAGATCCCAATAAGAGGCAACTACTTTAAGATCAAGATCATCCCCATTCTTATATATGCAACTATTTCAAGATCAAGATCAACTCCATTGTTATACATGCCACTATTTCAAAAGCACAGACAATTTCCTCAATAAAGATCCCAATAAGAAGCAACTTTTTCAAGATCAACTTAATTCTTCAATAAGCTACTACTCAAACAGATTGAAATTCTTCAGAAGTTAAAAACATTTACAAGTATACGCTTACTTAGAACAAATATTAACATGAAATGTAGCACTGCAATCTAGACCTATAACGCATCTGCTAAATAAAGGTCTACAACGTTATTCACCATAGCACAGAACTCTTGATGCCAAGACAAAGATAATTAAACCTGAAACGGCCAAGCTAGCATTTAAGCCAGAAAAAAAATACCCCATGGTAGTTATCAAAGATGCTCAGACAAATTTCAGTACTACTTTAAGTATAAATGAAAATCATCAAAACATAAAGGTTAAACCACTTCCAACCTAATTCCAGCACTATGTTCAGCATTTACATTACTGTCTTCTTTTTACTTGTAGCACTCAGCCAATTTTTCTTCTATCTGTCCTCATCTTTCCTTAATCCATTCCCTCTTAAAACATATTCACAAGAATATTGCCCAGGCCATACCATATTAACCTCAACAGTGAGCAAAAGTGTGGCCTTTTATATCGGCAAGTTCTCTTTAACTAAAAGATCACAATCAGATAATACATCTTGTGACTCATTCGCATCCCCATTTTCTATTAGATTCTTGTCCTTTCTAAAAAATGAATCAGTTTAATGTTCACGTGGATGGACCTTCAACATGACATTCTGATATTTTTCCCCTTTCTTTCCATGGACATTCATCCTGCATCACATTAACTATTGCAATCTCATCGTATTCTCAATAATTGAGCACTGATGGCAAAGTCATCCACTTCTTAGCATCTACAAACCTTGAGAACTGTCATCTGAAGGTTTGGTTACTATTTTGTTGATTGTAAAGTCTATAGATCCAGACAGAGATACTTCAAGCAATCGTCTGCTAATTCATTTAATACAAGTAATTCTCCACGCTAACTTCTAAATTAGATGTGTTCTTGGCTTCGTTATAATAATAATAATTTAGAATTACATACACCATTATTGCCCAAAGAACGGGGAAAAAACAAAACAAAAACAAAGACCTTTCACATATGTCAAAAATCAAACCAAAACCCTTAGTGAATTTATCCTAAACCAGACATTTAACTGAAAAGGCCCAATCCTGGTAGGATAAGAAATAACAACTATGACTTTTGCAAGATTTACACAAGATTGAAAGCACAAGGTAGACCCAAATATCCAAGAATTTCTGTCAGAAGTATTCATAACCGTGTACAGAACCACCGATCCTCAAAATCTTAACAAGTTAATATCCCAAAATCCTAGTAAAACCCTTTTCTTATATGTACAAGTTCAAAAAATTTCTAATATATGAATTGGCAAATGAAGTCTTATTGCAGCTCCATATACACCTAAATATAAGCCTTGCTGAAAAGGGTTTCCATCAACTTATGCTGAAGAGGGCCTTCCTCAAGTTTTGCTGAGGATGGGCTCTCAAAGATTAAGTTAGAATGGCCTTTCCAATCCATACTAAACATGAGAATGAATTTGATTGTATTAGAAAGGCCTTTCCATTTTAGGCCATTCCTGTCTATCAAACAAGGGTTAATGGGGATAATCTAATATTTTAACACAAATCAAATGTAGCTTGCACTAAATGTACTATGTGATGTATCCTAGGACCAAAAAAAAAATGAAAAAGAGGAGTAACAAAGAAGAATTACTTTTAACTAGTTAACTGCATCCAGTAGATTATGGTCTACGGTAATGAGCCCAATCATACAATGAACAGACATACACCATGTTGCATCCAACTAGACAGTAATACAAAATATTAAAAACATACATACACAGATAAAACAGAAGTTGCACAGTTTTTACTTCAATTCAGTTAGCGTCCATCTTATATGTAAATTAGATCAAGCAAGCATGTTCTTAGGGCAAAAATGTATAATAATCATGACTAGTCCTAGGTATGTTGCTCGGACTCGCCATCCAACCCAGGCACACCAGTGTCGACATAACACAATGCGGTTGTGGGCGCAGGGTACATATCAGATACTGTCAGAAATAATTGGGTGTGTTAACTACTGGAAATGTCACTTCATCGACAAATTTCTGATCATCTGCGCTTATGTCTTGGTCAAGGAGGAGAATGATTTGATCTACAAGATGATTGATGAGATTGGAAGAAAATTTTTCCGCATTGAGGAAAACTAAGAATAGCTCGAATTCAGAGTTATAGTTGTACTCAACATGCTGATGCTGGACAGAGAGAACGAGGAAAAAGGAATAGAATTTTTTGAAGTAACATGCTGGTGACCTTTTAGAGATTACTAGTGCATTCATTGGATAAATAATATACACATGTTTTTATTTACTGGTTGCTATTTGGCCACCAGAAGCCAGTCACTTTTAGGTGACTTTAACTCTTTCACCATACCACATCCTTCAAAAGAATTAATTGTATAGAACACCACTGCAAATGACAACACCATTCTCCAAGATTTGTCATCAATCCAGCCTTAGCTTTGGTTGTGTTTAAGCATGAAATAATCTGACAATTAACATGTGCTTTTATCCTTTATTAATTTGCAATATTATATTGAACAATAAAAATTTTTCTAGCAGGGGAGGGGTGGAATTTAAGAAGCAAGGAAAGGAAAGGGGAATTTGAACTCAGAACCTCTAAATGTAAATGAGCCTTCAAAATATTTTTCCAAAACATTTCTTTCATTAATGCAAGCCAAATTTAATCCATGTTACCATCTTATGTTTCTTCAGAATATATCTTTTTTTCACTAATGAAAGCCAAAAAAAATTTTTGCTTCTTCAGAAATTATAACTAACTAGTAGCTATTTTGATAAAATAATTAGTCATTACTCTTAAATTTATTAAACTTGGTGCCATGTCCAAGTCTTTAGACACGTGTCCCTCTATCCTAGAGTTAAACAAATTGTCACCGAGATATGTACCCGTATCTGACGCCATACCCGAGTCCAAGCAACATATGTTTCTATATGAAATTTCTCCTACAAATATCAGTACATGCAAATGCTCGACTCTCTTAAGAGGTTCAGAGTGCTGACACGATATGGATATCACACATAGATTTTGATTTTACATCTTCATAGCGTCTAGCAAGTAGAAATAATTTACAAACCATGTCCAAGCAATATCAAGATTAAGGTTATTCATTTTGTCAGGATTCCTATCTTCACTAGGAGACACAATACGCAAAAAATAAATGTTAACTTTCCTTCCATAATATGTCTCTCTGATTACTTTTTGTTTATTCTGCTCATCTTTTGGAAAAGCTTTTTCATTTGAATGCTATCAAAGAGACAAATACTGCTTGCTAACTGAAAGCAAGTGCTATAAAGTTTCTTCATCTCAAAGACAGTCTGACATGTGCCCATTGTGTTGTCTAGGGGAAGAAGGAAGAGAAAAATGCTTTAAACTTCTATTCATCAAAAAACATTATGTAAATTTCATGTTCCAATGCAGTAGATGTAAGATTGTCATAACTTCAAAACTTAACCACCTTCATTAAATAAACTTCACCACCTCATGAGAAAAGAGCATAATACCATTTTGAATAATTGATTCTACACAATAACCGATTGGAGTTATAACTAATAAAAGTTTGAGGATAAGCACACAAAAAAAGCATTAAAACTTTTACAGTATAATTGATGTATGATAAGAGATCTCCAGAGTTGGGAATCATAAATTTGAACCCATAAAATTAATTCCAACAAAATAAATCAAGGTAGAGCCACAAATTAGAACCCTGATTTTTTGTCTTGTAGTATTTGAAAAATTGACAACTTCTGAACAATACAAAAGAATACCTGCAAGTCCAAAATGTTGCAAGGATTGCCTGCTTCATCATGGATCCAAGGCATATCAGGGAGATACTTCCATTGTCCATCAACAATAAACCTATATTGGTAGACACCAGATGGCAGCACTTTCATGATTGTGAAATCTTTCCCAGATCTCTCCAAAAGTGTTCTGTCAAAACAAATAACTTTGGTCATTTTTCTTGAAGCGACTGAGCCAGAATCAGAAAATGTCATAGCATGTACCATTGTCCTCCTCGAGATACCTTGTTTTCCAGTTGTCCCATGATCCTTCGACAGCAACTTCATTACCATCATAGCTCCATGTAATCATTGTTGGGATACCTTGTTCATAATACATATCATCATGCCCTGACATTGTTTGCATCCATGATGGACTTGGAATGTGCATCTCATCAGGTCTTTGCAGAGGAACCACTGGCATCTGAAAGCACCATCACCAAAGAATTATAACAAAAGCCACAATAGCCTTTGACATCTATTCTATAGCAGACAGTTTACTCAGAAACAAAGAAGACAACAAAAAGGCATATTTGGCTTGGCTTGACATTGTGCACACACTAGGAAGCATGTGGACATGAAACGTTGACACTCATTTCAGAGCTAAATCAGACGGTTTCTTTTTGTCAAAACCACCGGAACCACCAGATCATTTTGGTAAACTTTAAGAGTACAAATAATATCCAACATTTCCTTTTTCTTATTTAATAATGAGACAATTTCAGGTAACTTTGTGGATAGTAGAGAATAAGTACCAATCCTGTCAAGCTTTCTCATTTTCGGGATAGGAGTTGAAGCCCTCTCCAGTTTTTCAAAGCTTGCTAAAGCCTTTATATCTTACTTGCAATGGATAACTTTCTCCACAACTGTTGAAAAGCCAACCTCCGCCCGCCCGCCCGCCCCCCCCCCCTCTCTTCTTTTGATAGTGGGGTAAAACCATACCATCATACAAACAAAAATAAGAGCTCGACCAAATAACTATCCATTCATGACGAATAGTTAGACAATAAGAAAAGTCTATGCCTGGCAACAAATTCAGAGGTCCGCTCTATACAGAGATAAGCAACAATTATGCAGAGCTAAGGAAGGCATCAGGATATACTACAGAGGTTAGGCAACAAGCCTAAGCGTTGCATTGCCCGTGGTTGAGCAGGATGCGTTTAAGCCAGCGCGTCTAGTTTCCAATCCAATGGTAAAAAGACTAGTGAGAGGGATGCTCTCAAAGCATCAGTTGTTCAAAATCCAAGGAAACGTCATTACCATTCAGAAAATTCCATTAATCCCACAGTGAGAACATGAAACAGATATAGTAGATTAAGCAACCGAACTCAGCAATTGCTGTGGTAACAATAAAATCCAAGAGAAAGCGCTTTCACCACATGAACTCCACCACCAAAATTACAACTTCGATTCAGATCTACCCATGCAGTTGCAATTCGCAATAAAAAAAGAAGAAAAAAACTAGCCATTCAATTCCGCTAAACTTACTGAAATTATCACGAAAAGGAATAAAAAATCTAAGCAAAGATTGTTACTTTACTTAAAAAAATAAAAAGGCAGGAACTTGCCTGAGGCCTAAACATCAAAGGAGAGTGAGAAGCCCTAGGACTGGGCGGGGGGGATTGACCCATGAACTCTCCTACATCAGCATGATTACCATATCTACCCTCTTGAGCGGCCAAAGATTGCTGCGCACCGCCACCACCATCCTCCGCATCAAGTCCAGAAGGGCTGTTCCCATCACCACCATCCTCTCTTCCATTAACATTCCCCATTACTTTATTATAATAAATCGCTAAGAAAAAACTCTAGTAGAAATAAAAACTAGGATTTCATATAAAGAGGTCTTGCTTCTATAAACCGGTAGTATATATACTGTATATTAGCCACCCACAGAAGCAGTGCTAGTGCTGAATATCACCGCCGCGTCAGTGGTGACGGTGATACATTGATAGACCGACATAAGTTTGCGATTGACTGTGGGATGAGAAAATGGAAAGCTGTGATTTTAGAGAGTGTAATGCAGCTTCTGATTGGTGGATTAATATCTTCCCTTTCGCTACTTGATTAATTTTGATGCTTGGGGTTGGGATCTTGAATGGATTTGATTTGATTGCCGAAGAAAACTGGAGTCTTTTATTTAAGGTATAAATTTTTCTTTTTTCCAAAATATCGCTTGCTTTATTTATGGTAAATGGTACTAATAAAAGCTCTTTAGATTTTACTATTATAGTGGGGGGGGGGGGGGAGGGGAAGGGGGCGCTTGATCATCAATTACTAATGACTAGTAATCCTTTGGTTTTGGAACTCGCAAATGCAAAAGCATAATAATGCTGCTAATTATAATGCAATGGCGTAGGAGTAGGTTTCACAGTGGATTTTTTTGGTGGGGGGGAGTGTGTGTGTGTGTGCAGCTAAAGTACAATCATATCATATCATACATGGATCTAATTAGGATGGTTAATGTCATATCAACTAAGTATTACCCGAGAGGAGGAGGACCGTGTTAAATGGATTGGAAAAGGAAATGTAAATAAGAGATTGCGGTAAAAAAATAGTAGGCGTAACTCTTCCTTTCTTTATTACACGGGTTTGTTTTAATAGAGTATTATTTGAAATAATTACTGTAGTACTCTTTGTGATGTGATGTATGTGAGATAAAAAGGTAATTAGAAATATAAAAAAGTGGGTTGGAAAATGAATTAATACTAGGGTGTTTTAGGTGAAACTAAAATACCACACTGTATTCAGCACATCATCATGTTGTACCAACAGCAGAATGGCAGAGGCTTATTGGAAAATGGAAGCAGGATAGGATGATTACATTCTTGGAGCAATCAAGCCTTAGGTGCATCCTAGAACCTAATGCAAGCAATCAAGCCTCTTCGATATTAATTATTACCGCTACTCATTCAGATTCAGTTGCATTATTACCAATTTACATATAGGCTTCTGCTAGGATTCTTGAGTAGGCTCCGTCCTAACGAAACATATCATTATCACACTCTTTTTTAAGTAATTGTAGTACCAGTAACATATAATAGTCATAATTTGAGCGACAGCAAGCAGCAGCTGTGACTTTGCTTATCAAAAAAGTCAAGTTTGTATTGATAAGCAAAACAGTAGTGTATTAATAAGCAGCCTCAGAAAAAAAAAAAAGTGGGAAGGAAGAGGGGGCCGGGGGGTAGGGAATGAACGAGAATGTGATGCTGATTGCTGGCTGGGAGGAGAGGGTGGTAGTCATTTCTTGGCTCCCAGATGATGCTTTCAAGTTCAAGTGTTGGGTTTTAAGTCTTTTTCTTCAAGAAAATAGTGGAAATGGTTGCGGAGAGGAAGAGAATTTGGTGAAGTCATTTTCTTGGACCTCATTGAATACGATGCCCAATTATGCACAGGGTCCCAGTACAAAAGCGCACAAGTTTCTCCCGCATAATTCAATAATAATGTACGCTATATACTACTACATACATATATATATATATATATTCTATATCCCGAAAAGGGGCAAAAAAAAAAAAAAAAGGGTAGTTCCTTAGCTCCATTGGATCTCTGGTTCCATTGATTTGGCCTTTTATCGATGTAAGTTAACTCAATTAATAATATCTTATTAATTTTTTTTAAAAAAAAGAGACATGTATTTAAAAAATTTCTAATATGAGAAGAGTTACGTCAATAATTGACAGATGATGGACGATCTTTAAACTATCAATTTTCTTAGGTATGAATTAAAATTTGGAGTGCTTGTCTTTTTTATTGTTTGTTTTGCTTTTTCTTTTTTCTTTTGATGGGGGAGACAATTGGGGTGAATAAGGAAGCCTTGGATTTCCTTTTTTTTTTTTTTTTGTTAATTGGATTTCCTAATTGATTGGGAACATTTGGTGTATATATATATTCCTCAATATTCAAAGAAAACACATCTAGTTATTTTTGAAGTGGAGGGAAAAAATGGAAAAGACTGTTGTAGTAAAACTTGTTAACACGTAAATGGGCCCGAAGCCATTCATTCGGCGAACGTGCAAAATCTTGGCTTCGCGGCATAATAGACTGCGCTGATTTCTCAGAGACAAAACAGCTAACATCTGCTGGGCTACATCCTCAACAGCACACTACAGGTGTATGTTCCTATATACATTTTTTTTTTCCAGATGGTTTCTGTTGCCCTTCCACCATTTTTGATTTCCAGTCTTGCTATTTACGCGTTGCACTGGCACTTCCCTTCTCCTCTTTTTGCTTTCGCCCTCTGAAATTGGCTTCAGAATTGCTGCTCCTTCGTTTTCCTTATCTATTTGATTACTCTCTATAAACAATTGCAAACAATTTGCATTCACTTGTTTGGAAAGGCTTGAAATCTTCTACCACCAGTCTATCAGTATAGTAGGAGTCTAATGTGGACATCATGGTTTTCAAGATTTGAGTTTTCATTTCCCTCTACATGTTCACTTTTCCGTCTTCCTAAATAGGACCCCAGTTGAGACCTTATACTCTTGATGATGTTCGAGGAAATTCCTTATCCAAATTGTTTTAGGATCTGCACGTTGTCTCTGTTTCTTGGTTGTGCTTGTTGGATATCTGTCTATTGGAAATGTTATGGCGCAAATTTCTTGATTTTTTTTATCGTAGCCTTGATGTTTTGAAAGCTATTCGCCTCGGTTGATTTTTGTTCACATGTTTCCTGTGTCACTCAGTAAGAGCAGATTAACATGCGATGATGCAGGGATATTTAATTGTAATTGCAGGCTACTGAAATCCTTTGTCTAAGAAATCCAAAAAGGGTTCTTTTCTGGCATTTGGCTGGGAAAATTATTTGTCTTCTTTCAGTTAGATGCTTGATATTCGCAAACTACTAGTACGAGTAGTTTAGTCTTCAATCATTTTGTGAAAGGGCCAACAGTAGTTTGCATCTTTTTTCTTTTATAAGAAAACCTTGCATCTCATTATACGTTACCTACTCCCTCAACTAAATTAGGTTGTGGGATCTGTGCTGGGCTAACTGAAGAATAGAAAGAAGTGGTCTTGCAGGATGATGGAGTGCCCTTTGCCTGGTCAAGGGAATGAACAAAAGTATGAAGTCAAATCCTGCACTTTGTGTTCAAAGGAAACTGATAAGGGAAGAGTTGATATACTATTCTTCAAAGAATATAGATTTGTCTTCTCAGAACCATGGGAGAGATACTTTCAGTAATCGCATAATTTTTAAATACTAATATCATGCTGCCATTCATAAGATCTTGTGATGATAAAGTCACAGCACAACCCATCAATTACACCATTTTCCTCTTTGACCCAAGGACATGGCAATTGTTTTTGGAGGTCATTTGTACAAGTACTTGTACTATGAAAAGCATCTAGGTCAGCTGTCCAAATGGAAAACTGCTAAAGAAATGGCTGCTGTTGTACGGTCCCTGCTTACCCAATAACAGCTGAAGCAAATCTTCGTGACTCATGAAAAAATGTTGGATGCTTAGTGGTTTACTTCCTTTGCCTTTTCATGCATGGTCTGAGATTGAGAAATTTGGTGATTTAATATTGATATCTACTGTATCCTAAACGGTCTGCTTTGACATCTATGATGATAGGCTGAAAAGTATCTCAACCTACGATCGGTTCTCTCATCTGATTCTGACTTGGTGTGAAGAATGAGGCGCATGTCGGGGAAAAAACAAAAAACCAATTGTGTATGGGAGGAGTGGGGGGATAATAGTCTTGTCATCACTTTGAGATTGCAGCATCCCTTAACTAACAGTTGAAGTGTGTTAAGTGACAGAAAATAAACATTAAGGGTAACTGACATTACTGGTATATTTTATGGGTATATGTGATGAATCCATAAGATTAGTTTTTGTGTGAACTACTTGTGTTACTTATCGTGTTAATGGTAATCCTTTTTGTTATCTTTTTCTTCGGAGAAAGAATCAGTTTTGTTTTAGGGCAAACTTACTATGGGAGAAACACCATCAGACAAAAAAGGGTGCTCTACTTCTACTATAGTAAAGATTATCGTGGAGTCCATGATAATTACTGCTATGCTACTTACTACTATAGTAAGATTTAGGAGTCCATGTGTGTTTGAACTTTGTTAATTGGCTTGATCTGAAGACTATCTGCGTCTGAAGTTTCAGTGAATGCCAGGTTGCTCAAATATGCAGAGCCTGAGAGCTTCCATTTTGAGTTATGTGAGGATCAGAGTTTCTATCAGGGAGCAGTTTTTCGCTCGAGATGTGAATGCACTAAGCAGACTCAGCATGCAACTGCATGCATGCAGCACCTCTTCCAGTTCCAGCAATGACCAAATAATGGAACGAGTGGTTTCACTGGTTAAGAAGTTTTCCAGTGTTGATGCTACAAAGGTGATTAACTCAATGCTTTCCTAGTTTATTTGTCTAATTTTTATACAAGAGATTATGTGGTAATTAAAGTAATGGTTGTTTCTAATAATGCTGATATAGTTATTTCCTAACATTAGCATTTTAAGATCTCACAAATGAAATTTTGGTCCCTTGTTTGTCATGGTTTGACTTTTATGCAGTGGAGTTTTAGAGCGAAGCCATGCATGGCATGCACAGTGAACAGATTTTGGCCAAGTAATTGAGCTATATTATTCAAGCATAATGACTGATCTGGCTAAAGAAGGTTCTCATACTTTTTTAGATCCTTGTAGGGCATGCAAAATGGAAGAGAAGGGATGATGGTGCGGGTCAATTTATAAGACGTTAGGGTCTGACTAGTCACCACTTGTGGATGGCTAGGGAAAAGAACCATCCCTGTTACGAATTGCCTGGAATACTGGGGTTCCTTACCAATTGAATCAGTATTGGAATTTAATTTGAACAGTTTGCAATGACGGAATTGTCTAACTAGATAAGATTTCACTGCCTGCTGAGACATCTGTCTCTAAGATGAAATGCTACCGATCTGCTCTTAGCTCTATTTGTTGTTTGCTTTTTCAAATCCATTAGCTGTATATGATTATTTAGGCAAAATATCGCTTGTTTGGGCCATAGGTGTCAAGTTTAGATCAAAATTAATTAAGCTTTGGGATTTCTGGAAGAGACACTCTTAGTGTTAGATTCGGTATGCAGTTGCGCACATAGTGAAAGCCACCTGCAGGGGGTTAAATTATTTGGAAAACCTAGAGTGTAACTTCTTTTTTTCCTTGCCTTCTGTCAGTAATCTTAAGCATTCCTATTTCAAATACAGCACCGCTGTTGAATTAGTGAAATGGTTAGTTGCAAGGATTTTAAACTGATGTGTTCTTCCATTAATTGTTAGGTTACTGAAACTGCTGACTTCCAGAAGGACTTGAGCCTTGACAGTCTTGACAGAGTAGAACTTGTCATGGCTTTTGAGCAAGAATTTTCTGTCGAGATACCAGATGAAGAGGCAGACAAACTTAAATGTTGTGCAGACGTAGCTAAATATATAACATCAGGAGCAGGTCATCAAAACGCAGAAGGCTCCTGATTTTGTGGGATGTAGCAATGCTTTTTCATTTTTGGCATAGACATATTAGTGATGGAGCCTTTTAAACGCTATTTATTTGGAATTCAAAATGGATTATTTTCAATTTCTGCCGTCCACCCTTCCAATTTTATATAAAGAGAACCCGTAGCTTTCGTTTATGTTGCGTCTTTTCTGATTTGTATGTGGAATATCACAGCATACTTTTTATTCGAGTTCAATTTGGACAGATTTAATTGTTTGAGTAATAAAGGGTGATAGATATATAGTCGCCAAGCAGAGATTTCCGTGGCACTTAAACTGTACAATATTCTGATTTACACCTCTCTCTCTCTCTCTCTCTCTCACACACACACACACTCACAGTTGTAAAGCCTGTGCCTGATGTGGCGCCTGCGAACAACTTCTTTACATGGTTACAAGGGAAAATATTGAAAACCGCAACTTTGTTGTGACTGAAGAAGCGCCATCAAGATAAGCTGAGGTCTATTAGTTTCCTTTCTCCTGGTAGTAGACATGTATCATGTCTTTGCTGTTCCTTGAAACATTTCTGCATGACTTTGAATGTTTAGTTGTCAAATGTATTGTTTTCACTGTGTAAGCACGGGAACCATCCTCAATGGACAGCAGTCTTATAGCCTTGTGTTTTCCTGTGAAAGCCGGACGGCAGTCGGAGTTCTTTGATAGATGGAGGACTCTAACGAGACATACTTTTTCTAGATTTGGAATTGCATGGAGATGGGAAGGGAGATCGATGAGGAAGTCTCCATATTCATCTGTGGTAGCTCGTGCGCAAGATTTTCTTGACTTCCAGCTAGTACCGCAGAAAACTGCCACGGACGCACCTGCAGCACGGCAAAGACTATATGAATCCATTCAGATCTATCCAAAACAGAAGACTGGCTTCTTAGCTTCACGCTGAGAAGGCTACAGTCCAGAAATTAAAGCTTTGAAGATGATTCCTCTAATCTTGTTAGGGCTCCATGCATGAAGATCAAGTAGCGTTACTGTCTCTGTCAGTCAGGACCCTTTACATCCCTAACCCTATCTAGTGGTGGTCTCGAAGAAGAAGACTAGCATCGGATTGATGGAGGAGCACCTAAAGAAGTTAACTAATGGCAAGCTTGGGCTGAGTTTCCATGAGATCTACAGGAGAGGTAGAGCACACTATATATTCAACCGTCAAACGAGAAATCTACTGAAATCCAACAACAATTGCTCCTAAATTTCCTTTAGCACCCAGACAAAAGTGATCCACAAAGATTGGGGCTTCACGAGAGATCATGTATTTTACCATTTCTGAAAATATGAATCTAGTTAATACGTCATTTCTAAAGAGAAAAAAAGCGTTTCAATCAGGGTTTGTCAGTTTTTTTTTTCCCTTTTTGTTGTTGTTGTTGTTTGTGGTTGGGAGAGGAGGCCAGTAGTTGAGTTATTGAATCTTGACAACGGGGATCTAAACACTTGATCCACCACTCTATCATATTCATAAGCATAATCATGTTCTACTTTGATACCATATGCATATATGACACTGAGATTCTCACACGTATTATGGACCCCCTAAAGAAAGAAAAATGTATATTAAGGAGGATTCACTTATTTTCTTTTCTGATCTGGCTCCAAAACAGATACTAATAGTACATATTGAGTTTATTGACCGAGATTAAATAAAACAATATTAAAGGGGATTAATTAGTAACTTGAGAAGCTTATTGCTACTGCAAAATAGGACTCACAAGGACACAAATGGTGCTATTAATTACATGCATCCATTAACCATTACTAGTATTAATTAAGGCAAGTTATTGATTGTTCACCGTATTTATAAACACAAGTATTAGTATTAAATTTGCCAATCCTAACGAGCCAAAGCTTAACCGACGCTTGACAATTAATAGATAGATGTCTGAAAAATAAAATAAACATTAAAAAGAAAAAGAAAATCGTTGCTCATGCGAACTTGAATGAAACAACAATATGCGAATGTACAACGAATCAAGGCCGGGCAGGCAAAGGCGTCGTCTTGGCGGACAATATGAATGTGAAGCTATGCAACAAAACCAGTCTGCCGTCAGCATGCATATCAATGCTGGTTAATGTATTATTATTTTACAGAAAACCATATCTACGTTTCAATAATGTAATTATTCCACTAATTTTATCTGATCATGTTAAAGGGGAAAAATTAAGATGCATGTACACATGTATTGTGGTGCATGATTCAATTCGGTTGTATGATAATCCAGAAAGAGCCCAGGAGATTTCATTTTATAAAAACGTAAGTTCTTGTTTATGGAGATTCAAATAACTCGTTTTCTGGTACAAAACCTGAGACGGGAGCCGGTGCGGGAAGTGGTTGGTCTAACTGGTTAGCCTGATGATGATGATCATGGATATCCGCACAGGCATGACAGAGTAGCTTGCCGCTGATGGTAACCGTGGACAGCTTCTCTTCTCCGTAACCAGCCATATGCACCAACTCGTCTCTGCTGGACAGCTCCGCGATGGGATTATCTATTGTCATGTCCTCCGATCCGCCGGCCATCACCGGAATTTCAAGAAAGGGGAGGAAAACCAAGAAAGCCATGATCATGATCGTGTCACTGCCGCGAAAATGGCTCGTCATCTTCTTTGTATTGCTCCTAAACTTTGTATCAACGCAAAGATGGACTGAAGAGACAATGAAAAGCTACCCTCCCATCCCCTCTTGGGCTTATATTTATAGAGAGCCGTTGCATGGTTCACAAGCCCTTTTCATTTGCTTATTTACTATTTTCACCCTAGTCAACTGTCCTTTATATTTCATTTCACAGTATAACTATAAGAGGAGCTTGGATCTTTTACATATACTATGTGCTTTAAAGAATTGTTATTGCTAAGTATCACTTTTTTGGGAGAAGAGTACTCAATAGTTAGTGTATTTATTACGTACACCTGCAAGCAAATTAAGTGTCCGTTACATGACATCTTCTAGAGCTAATTCAGTGTTCAACTAGCTAGTCTCTGTTAACTAGACCAAAAACTTTGAGTTGCTGCTATTTTAAGTAACATAATTACAGGGGGGAAAATCTGATAGATCGATCAAGAATTTTAGTAATTTTCTTGTGAAAATAATGAAAGAATAGATGGTGTATTTCACTGCTGGATCAATCTTTCATTATTATTTTGATAAGAATTTTAACAATTTGTTTGAAAGTTTGATTCCCCTGCGACCACCAAGTAAATCACGCAACAAACATAACTCCACAAATCGAGTACATTTTTCTTATTATATGCGTGTTGCTTTGGCATATAGGGTAAAAGTTTCCATTTATTGCTAGCTAGTGTAAATTAAAGTAGAAGAAAAGGAAACAAAAACCTTTAGAATTAGCTGCTTGCTAAGAGGATTCAACGACTACTTAAATTTATAAAGGGAAAAGGACTATTGTTCAGGAATACGAATACGTACCATATAAAGGGCAAGCTAATCTTAAATTAAATCGCGTTGGAGTGGTGGAAGGAAGGCGTTTTCTAAACTACTAACAAGGAATTTAGATTGCTAATTAAATTAGCAATGTGGATGGAAGGGTAGATTGGTCACATAGAAGGTGTAGTAGGTGAAGTTTTGGGGTACTACACAAGGTGTGGGGTGGGGGGGAAAGCTGGAGTTGTAGAGAAATGAAGAGGGTATGGTGGGAAATGAGGAAGAAGATGGGAGTTGGAAATGGAAGGTTAACTGTAAGGTTGGTAGCCTAATCTTATCGACTTGCGTATTGTTTTATCGGCAAGAAAAGCCCACGTTTACGTACGAAGTCTAAAAAGGCTAAAAACGAAAAGGGCTTCCAATTCCAATGGCGTTGGCTGACAATCGTCCATGTCGACTCTGAGTGAATTCGTCAAGCCTGCCCCCAACTATCCCATATCACCCCATCCACAATTGCACGCCTTCTCATAAATATCTCCCTAATTTATTCTTTCAATTCTTACTTACTTTACTAATTACTTGTTCTGTACACGTTCCCTTCCCAGGTTGATCAACTTACAGATGTGTATTGTAGAACAAGTAATATGATTAAAAAGAAAGAAAAAAAAGTTCATCAACTTTTACTCACTACAACCAAAAAAAAAAAAAAAAGAGTCTGTCTGGCAAAGAATCAAAATCCATGTCAAAAGTTTTAACTTTCTCGCCAATTAATTTCAGCGAAGAAAGAAAGCGCTCCCTTGCACAGCACATCGGATTTGGGTGGAGTTGGACCAACTAAGTCAGCATCTTATTCTGAAGACTGCTCAAAAAGCTTCAGGTACTAAGCCTTGGTACGTTTGGAGATTTTCCACCAAGGAGTCAACTATCGAGCTTAATTTAAGCTCTTAAGAATTTTAATGTTTGTATTTATGGCTTGCTCAGATATTTAGTCACTTTTTTTTGTAGATAAACTCTATTGAAATTATGTTCTGATAACATCAAGCCATTATGGTGGTGGCCTTAATGAGAGTGAGCTACTTCATTTCTGTGTTGTTTCTCCCCTTTCTTTTCTGGCTTAGCCCATACATCTTATGCAGTGATGAATTAAAAGTATTTTTTTACTCCGCCAACTAAAGCAATATCACCAAAACGAAAAACAGGAAGGTACAAGAACATGTAACGTAAATCTGCGCACAGATGATGTTGAAGCCATGTAGAACTGAAATATCTTATTCTTAGGTAAGGAAGCCATTTTTCCGCCCTCCAATGCAACAAATTGTTCTAAAACAGGACCCGACCTTCCCCATGGAAAGGCGGACTAAGAAAGAAATAGAATCAATGAAAGCCATCGTGGCATCGTACGAAGCCTAAAAATGAAAATTTTGAACCATGTACTTGGAATCATCATAACTCATTCATAATTAAGGCCCTGCTTGTTTAAGTACAGATGCGTCTTCTTCGCAGAGAGAGATGTCTCCGCAGGCACCGGGGTAAATCCAGCATATTGCCCACCCTTCTTTGCTAAACATACATCTGAAATGTCCTTGAAAAGCTGGTGCTTCTGCACAAATGGCTGAGCTGCGTATTCTTGAAACGGCATCCACTGTTGACCAAAGCAATCCAGCACAACAATTAATTATCACTTTATCGGTGCTGAGATAACTCGGGAGAATATGAGAAGTTCGAGGTCTTTCACTCAGACACGTGCAAATTAACAATTGCCTACAAAGAACTGGGAAGTTTGAGGAACGTAAATTGTCATTTCGTATTAACTATCAGGATATTCCCACAAGAACCTCACTCAACCAGACCCGCAATGTTGTCAGATTTCTTTGATTCTCCTTTAACATCCGAAACTAGCAAGGATAACTTCATTATTTCTCAAAAACTTCATCTAGCATACCTGGGCTGCCTCTATCTCTGTTTCCTGCAGTTGAATCTCAAAGGAAAGAGGCCGCAGCATGCACACAAAGAACAAGTCTGACTTGTCAAAGAATGACTCGTGGCTCTGTCTGAAAATTAAGTGGACACAAAATCCGAAGTTAAGTGGTTAGCTATGGTGTACGAGCATGGTTGCAGAGCTGAACAATGAATTCTATTTATTAAACACGGCACAGCAGCAACATGTCAAGTGCAAACCCAAAATATGTATAATTTGGCCCAAGCATGCAAACTATATTTCATTAAAATATCACTGGTGCTTCCATCAGTTTACAGTGGCTTTAATATAAGCCTTCATCTTATCCAAAACAAAATTAACAATGTACCTGAGACGAGTTCAGTAGTCATGGCAAAAGAGATAAGATTCAAGCTAGAGTAGATGTAACGACCGGATTCACAATGCATAAATGGAGATAAAAGGACTGTGCAAACACATATACCTAAACGCCAGTATTTCCACAAACTTTGCATCGACCTAAAGCAGGAGAAAAAAATAGTACAAAAATAATATCAATATCAAATCAAATGTACAATGAAAAGGTTGGCATTACTTAATCAAATAAAGTCAGCAATAATCACTTACACCTGTCTCTTCTTTAACTTCTCTAACTGCCGCAGCACTTATATCTTCCCCCTGAGTAAATAAGAAGATTTAATGAGTGTGGAAAATGCCAAAAGTAAACCTTTCATTGCTGGTATTAAATTTTTGATGAGTTCAGTTTTCATGATTATGATCATTGTTAGTATTATCAATATTTCTCTATGTTGCACAATTACAATATCAAACTTACCAGCTCCACATACCTCATCTACAACTCCTGTAGGGAATTTCCAGATGCCTGTTCCACGAAACCTTCCACTCTTCTCTTGGACAACCAACACCTAAACAAGAATTTGCAAACTGAATATTGCAATCAAATATGCACAAGGTCCGGAAAACTAAATTCCAAAGTTATCCTACAAAACATGCTGATTATTTCACTTAGAGAAGTCACCAACATTATCAGTAAATGATATGCAAGGCACTCTCCCAATTCTCAGCCCTAAACCCCTCAAAAATCAATATTTCTTCGAACCATCACAGAGACAACTTAGAAGAAAAAAGTTGACATAGAGTCCCCAAAGGAAAAAATGAAAATCAGAAAATGAGATACAACTTTGGACAGTGACAAGCATGATCATTTTTACCAGAGTGATGCTAGATTCAATTTCCCATATTCCTGCAACACCACAATCTCAAGACGATGTGCCTTTCATAGCTTAGTTCTTGGAGATTAGCAGTGAGTAACAGAAGCAACCAAGGCAAAAATGCCATCTCTGAGCATTTATTCAGAACTTTATAACATTCTCTATTGTGGAGGAAAGATGCATGTTGCAGAAAAATATTTTAAGATCCATGATTACAGCTTAATTTGGGTTTGTTTCCAGCGTTATTTTCTGCGGTACGAGGGCTGAGGGCTCATAAAACAAAAGCTTCTAAACACAATTCCAGAGCGGAAGCTGGAAGATCACTACAAGAAAATGCCCACCGAGTAAGCTAACAACTAATGAACTGAGTAGCATCTCATTACCTGCAAAAGCACATCTGCTCATACATGTGCTTATACAAGTAAACTATACTTGTACATGACTTGCATGTGTAGATACATTGACATACATTATGCATTCAGCACAAAATGAAGTTTTATTGAAGTAGAGATAATACTCCAATGCTGATTATCCTAAATACCAGCTGTAAATTGTGAAATAAATAAAGAAACTATGGAATGCCAGGACAATACAACTGTAATAGATGCACCTGTGCATGCAATAGAGAATAGATATGAGAAAATGACAAGATAGAAAAAACTTTGAGAGCATGATATTGCGCACTACCAAATGGCATAACTCACATAAGCAAGCAAGCACTCCCTACCACATTAGATAAAATTAATTGGCTTTAGCAGTTGCTGCTATGAATTGACTCCATTATGACTATCAAGTTTTGCTGAACTAGCTTCAAGAGACTGAAAACTATACACAGTAGGGACAAGAATATTAAAAGCTTGCTCAAAATAACTTTGCTAGATTAAGCGAACATGAATAATGTATAAATATGTACCTCATTCTTCTCATTCATGACAAATGCACCGATGCCAACCCGGTGCGAGGCATTTGCTGGGATAGTATTTGTAGTACTAGGAAGCCAATGGACAAGCATCAAATACTTTGGTTCTGCATGGTGGAAATAAAATCCTGCCTGAAAAGCGATATGGGAATGACAAAATCTCTCCATCATTGAGAAATTTTGGATCTATAACACCATAATGAAGGCTCGCTTGTTCTACTAACCAGATATACAAAACATTGACAATGGCAACAAACTAACCTTGACTGCAGGTTCAACAAGATTAGCAAGCTCAATAGGCAATTTGATCCAAACACCCTTCTTACCCTGCAAAGATGATAACCTGTTAACAATAAATATACAGCACAATGAGAAGTTGTAGAAAAATTACAGAAGTTGCTTAAAAGCAGGGGAATAGCCCCTCGCATAGGTGAAAAGATGAAAAGATTATTTCCGTAGCACCAAAGGGAACACTGGTGGATCAGACCAAGTGGAACAATGGGAAGTTGGGTTACAAGTATTGATATCATCCTTGCAGAAGAAGTACTTGAAGATTATGTGTCTAATCAGAAAAGGCCAGTAATCAAGTACATCAACGAATAAGATAAGCCTAAACCAACCCCCACGACCAAAGGAGAGTATCACCTATGTAATTGCCTTGTTCTCAATCAGAAAATGTGCTCTGACCCATTTTGAATCCAATCTTGAACCTTTTGCTACATCACAAATTGCCCAGGGAACTTACAAAGACGAAATTACCACGACCAAGAAAATGGTTCAAGAGAAATAAAAAGCAAAAGATTGAAGCTTTGAGATTGTAGTGGCAAGACATATAAGCATGAAGGGTGGTTGGAAAGAAGAAAAAAAAAAACAGCCAAACATGGCATCTAGAAAGGGATTCTTTAAATGAAAAAAAAAAAGCAGATATCTGATGATTGTAAAGGTTCGTAGCTTCGAGAATAATAGTTCAAAAAAGGACAAAAAATACAATGGATGGGAGTTGACCTGCAATTTCCAGTGGGAAAGGGATGCATGGAGCAAAGAAGTAAAGAGAGAGGGGTCCAAGGGCTGATCGGTGAGTTGGACAATGACACCGTCATGGTCATCGTCTTTCCCAGCTAAAATCCTGTCCAGCTTGTCCGGCGGCAATGACGAGGAAACCTCCAAAGCTGACGTGGTATTCATTGATGATAACGATCTGATTCTGGTGGTGTTGTTCTTCAAGCAGTAGCTACCTAACCTGGTGGTACCTTGGCTGAATTTCCCTGATATCATACAATGATTAACGGACTTCAAAACTTTGACCCAAAATTATCTCTGTTTTTTTTTTTAACATATAACAAGGGAGTGATATAGGAGTGCGGGGGTGAGATGACCTGGTGATGTACAGGAAGATAGATCAGTAATCCTAGTCCGAGTCCGAGCGCTACTACTTGTGATTGGGTAACTTAAGAAGGCAAGCATTTGATGGTTAGAAAAGAAACCATAATATTTTGTTCTGGTGGGGTTGTTCTTGACGATGAAGCAGGAGGAGGAGGAGGAGGAAGAGGACGATAGTTTTGGAATTAATAATCTCGCCGCTATCATGTTGTTAATTATTATAGTAGTAGAGTAGTAAATTAGCTTTTGATTCGATAATATTTTATCATTACGCTATCTTATTTCTTGCAATTTTTTATAATGGTGAAACCGGACGGCCAATGTAAGAGCTAAGAAGTAAGAAGAAGATGAGGAAATAGGAGTTTTTGGAATTGTATGTCTGTTTGGTATCGGCAAGACGACGGCGACGTGGAAGTCTGACCTTTTCCGCCACCCAATTCACGACTACTTCCCCACTGCTTGCTTTCTACAATTCTACTTTCTAGACTAGAAAAGTAAAATGCAAATGGTACACAAACTTTGACCCTTTAGCAATTCTGGTACCTCAACTTTAGATGAAAGTAAATTTGGCACCAACATTACAATATCTAAGCATATTGGGTTCTCTTGACACGTATTTTCGAATTCGTACCGAAAAAATCATGTGCTACGAAATTGTAAAAAAGGTTTTTACGGTTATACTTCATCTAAGGATTTTCAAATTGTTTCAAGGTATTTATGTGTAACTAAATTTCATAACTTTTTTTGAACAACGTCATGATTAAATCCATAAAGGCTGGATTGAAATAAGGGTCTCAAAAAAAAATTTTTTTTTTTGAGGGCATAGAGAGAAGAGGGGGATTTCTGAGCTTTTATAATTAGCTCAATTTGGTATTTTCTTAGAATAAGTTATTTTATTCTTAAACGAGTGACTTATATTCTATTGGTCCTTAAGTAGGCCACTAGGTATGCAATTTTTTTAAAAAAATTTTAAAAATTGATTATTGGGCACATAATAGCATGTGATTTTTTTCCGTTGAAGCTCGAAAAAATTTGTCAAGTGTACCAAATGTGCTTACTCATTGTAATACTAGGTACTAAATTTGCTTTCATCCAGAATTTAAGTACAAAAATTGTACAAAATGATAAAATTTGAGTACCAAAATAGCATTTTACTCTTCTTTCTACTTCAGTTATTTAATTTTCTTCCCCCCCCCCCCGCCTCCCCCTTTTCCGGGGTAACTGCTCTGTTCAAATTATTATCAGAGAGGTCTCTATGTTTTGAAAAATTACAAACCAACCCACATTGCCCAATCGACTCTGAAGTCTGAAAGGCTTCAACAACAACAACAACAACTACCGCCTGTATGTGTTATAACTGCAGCGACAAAAAAAAGGAAAAACAGCTTAGAGAAGCAAACAAGAAGATGGACCGACCACAATTATAATTCTTCTCCCCAGCCCCCCAAAAAAGGCTTCAGAATACGTTCCTTTCTGAAAGAAAAATCACTTATAAATTTCATTTTATTATTATTTTTAATAAAGTCTCTCCTAAATGTTCTTAATGAAAGTTCTATGTTTCTTTTAGAGGTTTCTAGTGAGAATTTTCTTTTTCTCATAGAGGTTTTTAGCGAGAATTTTCTAATTTTTTCTTATTTTGTTGTTATATCTAAATTTATTTCAGATTTAGTTGTCAAATCTGAAATTTTATTGGGATATTGAATCTATTCCGTCAGATGTAATCATCATCATTAGAGTTTAAAGCGTTGATTAGCAAAATTTGCGATTGCAACATGTATGATTTATCTTGTTAGAAGACAAATTGACAATTTCTTATACTTTTAGATCTGTTCAAAATATTTCAGATCCATTATATCTATTAAAGTGCACATCTATTATTTCTAGTGTATGTTAATCTGCCATTAAGACAACCATATAAATCAAATCGTACTGGACGATTTTTAGCAATTCATTAATAAAATTCAGGGGCAAAAGATCTGAATAACTCTCAAACTATAGAGTTAGTCAACTCTTAATCCTTTAACTATTAGGTCACGGACTCATCACATGATTAATTTTTAAAGGACAAATTTTGCAATTCACTGATTACGTTCATACCAAAAGTAAAGAATGACTAACTCCAACCTCCTCTTTGTGGATTTGGGTTTGCAAAACGTGAAAATCTAAGTGGGTTTTGTAATTAAAGGTCAATGACCCCGGCCCTTTAATAAATGAATGAATCATTAGTGCTCATGTGATGAGGCAACTGTAATCGCCAATCAACCACGAGCGAGCAAGATAATGGGCGCTGATCGAAAGCAGGTTTGACAGCCCGACGACCGATAAATGACCTCTCTCTATGGACTATGCATGCATGAGCATGAGCATGAGATGACCTGGATGCTTACTGCTACTGGTGTCTGGCTCCGAGTGAAGGAAGGCGGAAGCCCCATTTCATCCCCACTCCCCAGGCTCGAAAAGTTGAATTGGAATTGGAAATATAAGCATAAGCTGCTGAAAATGAAAACAAAAGCAGTTAACACAGGCAGGCCTGCTTAGCTAAGCTTTTCTCCTGGCGGTCAAATGCACCCAGTGCTGGCCAACTGTGAAGAAGCCCCTCCTCTCCTCTGTCTGTTGCTAATCCTACCGGCGAATACAAACGTCTCGTCCACCACGCCTCGATGCCACGTGGAGCATCCCTTTCCTCTCTTGCTCACCATTATAAATAAAAGCCACTTGCCATCTGCAGATCACCATCTTCTTCCACCAACTAGCACTCTTGCTACTCCTCTAACTTCTCCATCCATCCACATATATATATATATATATATAGACACACACACACACACGTATTCATACCGCAGATCAAAATTCTTGTGTTCTTTGTGTGTGTGTGAAATAAAGTCCTACAACAAAGACACAGAAAAGGGTACTGGGAGATCTGATGGAACTTGGAGGAAATGGAGGCTTCACTGGGTACCGCAGGTTCCCCCAACCAAACTCCGGTAAAGAACTAGCTACTAAAAGATATCGAATTTTTATATTCTGAATAAAAATGCTGCATTGACAATTTCTTTTTCTTTCCTCACCTCAGATTGAGCCAACTAAACGCACGGCTTTCTTTAGGCAACATCACACTATTACTTCATGCACATGATTTGATCCCCCCGTTTTTTTTTCTACATTTTTGTTTCATTTTATATACTATATACTTAGATATGGTTTTGGGTTTTTCTTATATATTACACACCGACAAACAAGAAGAAGGATTAAGGAAGCATCTTTGATTCTGAAATTGAAAGGACATGAGAGCAAGTTTAGCCGTATCCCATTCCCATGGGGTGCCGTCAATGTTCATTTGCATCCGCATATACAGCAATAGTATCTATATGTTCCACAGTTCTAGTCTTCAACTACTGTTTTTTAAGTAAGATATAGCAGCCTCGACTGTCTCTGAGATTACTCTCTTGTCCGTGCATCACTTTAATTGCTCTTCCTGTCGAACCGTATACACATAGCTCCCTAGCTAGCTAATTCATGTACTAATAAATCAGGACAGGCTCCTAACAATTCAACTAATACATCTCACTTTTCCCCAACCTGTTCATAGCATGGAATGGTGTGGGGTATGTAGCTCATTTTAGTATAATGATAGATCAGCGGGCGTTCCAACCCCCGGTTCTATGTATACACTACCAGTGTATGGAGTCGGGAATCTGGAGACGCATTATTATAATTGATGTTATTAAGTACACACGAAAGAGAGGTAGGAGAAAAAGCAACAAAAAAAACTACAGAGTCTCTCGATCACAGAAAAGAAAGGAACTTCTGTTCCGGCCGGGGTACACTATATGACTCTGCAGAGCTGCAAATATGCGATTGGAGCTGATGTATTCATTTGTCAAAAAGGGCAAAGGGGACACAAGTGGCATGCATGCAGTAGTGTTTGATATTCATCTCTCCTTAATAAAACGAACACTTGTCACTCATGCACTCTCCTGCGCGACTTATAATATCTTCCCGACTCCATTTTGTATCCCTGTTAGTGTTGAGTTAGGTTCCATTTTCTGGCATTCCATTTGGCCTGCAGTCCGGGGGACATCTTCACTAACAACAGCAAGTAGGAATTGAATATACTTTTAATGCTTCTGGATTCCTAGCGGTTGAACTCTAGTCGTCTATGGACAGACTCTGACCCTAATCATCTGCATATATATATATATATATGTGTGTGTGTGTATATATATATATGATCGGTCCTGATGTGTAGTAGTACTGCTGCTTGGACAATCCCGGTGTATGTTGTTTCTTTGTTAGTCAGGATTAAAACTTTAAACCTCAAATTTAACGTACAACACAACACTGATGATATGCATCATATACAAGTACTTTCTGCACGCATGCCTTTTAAATTTAACTACATTCGACAAGAATCTGTGTCTACTGCAATTTTTTCAGCATTCATATTAGTACTTGTCTTTCTAGGAGGAGGAGTGGTAGTAAGTTTTTTTTTTTTTTTTGGCAAAATTTAAGCTTTCTGATCATCAGTAATTAAACCGCTCCTAGTTTAAAATACTAGCTAGATGCAATGCTTTCATGTCATGTTAAAAGGTCCTACTGGCTTAGCCATGAGTACTGGAAGTCTGAAACTCTGGGAGTCTCTGGCTACTTACGGCTTTGTCTGGAGTAGTAAAGTAAATGGTGGTGACTGTGTTAAATAGACGGAGGATTATGTGTAGATACGAGACAAAAGATTGATGACGGCAACTTGAAACTGGAACCGCTCCTGTTACGTCGTCGTCTTCGTCGTTGTCGTTGTATGGAACCTGGACGGTTTCCTCCTCCGAGAACTTTTTAACTTTTTTTTGAGTAAGGTTAAAAATACAAATGGAGTCACAAATGTTCCAAGACTCTCCTCTCCTCTGAATTTTTTGTCGTTGATGCTGCTTGGCCCAAATACCACGTGCTCTTTTAGTTTCATTTCCTTTATACTTATAATTTTGACTTAAGATGTCATTTTTCTTGGTTTTATTAATTTTTATCATTAACTTCTCTGCCGGTGACTGTTGATCGATCACACTCAAAACGAGTCTAAAATCAAACAAATATTTCTTTTCAAAAAAATGAAAAAAAAATTAATAAAAAGGAGAAAATTATGGGCATGGTTATTCATGATCTTATTAGTATATACGAGTACTACACAGAATATAGTAGAACCATACTACGTAGTGTTCATTAACTAGAGATTAACGTGATGATACTGGTAATTTTGAGGTGTTAATTTTGAGGCGTGGAAAAGAAACCACAAAAGAAAGAGAGAGAGAGACGATTGAGGAGCCCCTCGGGGTCAGCTCAACCGGTGAACCCATGGGATATTCTTCGTGGTGGCACAGGTTCAAGTCTGGCTTCACATATTGCCTGGGTGCTCTTGGGGTGCGGGGTACACAGGTGCAGAGGGATTAATCGAGCCCCTTATGAAT